TGTCCTGCAGCCAGTCAGGAAATGGTGCACTCTGATTGGCCTCACTAGTTCTCACGAAGGTCTAATGCCAAGACATGTGATAGAGGACCATGCTTGAGAGGCGACAGCATGCGCGCAAGGCTTAACAGCCGTCACGATGCATCATGTAGGGGCCTGCAGCTAGTCCGCCAAGAACGCGTGACACGCAGGAGTTCGAATGCGAGCCGATTGTCACGTGTGATTATGCAAAGGTTTGTCAGTAAAGAAAAGGTTAGTCAGCGATAATGACGCTGATCCGAGGACCGCTACAAGTTGGAAACAGGTGTTTCACTAGTTGAAGACTTAAGCTGTTGTAGTCCATTTTGTAATAGCTTTGACATTTTGATTCAAATGCTGGGTTGTTGACAGTCTCAGTTACACATTCGGTTTGTTCAGACGGCCTATATTAATTGGGCAGGACAACCTCCCGGTTCCGAAAAAACTAACGTGCACCTCCCTACTAACCTGAAAACGCACGTGACAGTAGAGGTGTTCATACGTATCAGGAGTTGGGTGGTTGCAAAAACAGTAAAACGATCCAAGTACCGCAAGAGTGTAGCCTAGACACTTAGCTAAGCTTGTTAGAACATTTTCAACGGATATCACTGGTCGCCACTTAGAAAGACGATTTATTAGATCTATGGCAGTCAGTATGCTTTACCGACGTGAGGATTGTCCAGCAAAACAGCCTTCCTTTTTCACATAAACTCAGCTTTTTGTAAATCAGTGTTTACAACCCTTGCGTGCCTCCGTAAATTCAAATTCCACAGTAAATTCTACCTTCTACTGTCTCAGCCCATACCACTTTGACTGTCTCGAATGCAGTTAATTTGTATGCATACTAATTACCACAGCTTTTCAGACTGCAGTTTGGTTTTGCGATAAAATTAGGTGGGCGAGAAAATAAAAATTTGTCTTTTAATACAGAAATAGGCCTTTTCTGGGTTTAAATTGAAAATAGCTGGCGGTTTTACTAGGACGCTTGACCTGCGAAGTGAACTTGGGTCAGGAATTGAAAAGCTGAGCCAGACCATATAACCAATACTTCCAGACGAATCAACGAAGGTGATTGGGCAGAGGCAGATACTGAAAGCTTACCGTAGTTGCCGATTGGAAATAGTTGTCGGTCTAGATTTGTTGCCTCTAAATCTTGTTGCAGTAGTGTGTAACAGAAGCTGCACCTCTGCATTCTATCATATATTAAAGACGAAGTTGAATAGAAGTGCGGAATCAGAAAGAGGAGTAACGTTAATGCCAAAATAGCCTGTAGGCCAGTTATTATAAATCGCTGCAAACCTGGGCACCCTCAGTATCGATCGTATTTTCCTAAATAGTCTAACCTTTATAAGGCTGGAAGTAAAAGAAGGGAAGGAGAACGATGTTAGAGTTTCCTGAACCTAAAACGCCTAGCCTGGGGTTTATGCCCTCAAGTGTTTCGACATCGTAAAATGTTCAAACAATCATAGTTTTCTATCCACTTTCGCGTATTTGCTCAATGTGATACTCAACAAAATAGTTTCAGTTGGAGAGCTCACTCACTCTTGTCCGATTATGGTAGAGTTCAAAAAGACACTGTGGACTATGCAAAACTTCAATAAGACAAACTATTTTTAAAATAAAACGTCCTTTACTCGTGGTTCTTTTAATGGAACGTAAAATGGCTAAATTAATGATAAAAGAGCACTTAATTTGTTATCAAGTTTCCGTTCCATTTTAAATTTAGGAGCCTCTGGAGACGAAATTCGAGGGTATGCATCCGAAAATCACTCAGGTCGAATTCAATTTCCTCAAGGTAAGAAAGCAACTTGTACGCAGTTCAGAGCATTATTTTAATGATCACTTTTTGAATCACTCAATGCCTTCGCATTATCGCAGTTGCTGATTTGAATCCAAAGAATATTATAATTTCCAGCAATGCTCTTCTTTAAAAGCTCTTTGGTAAGACATTAACAGCCAAAATCATTTGCTAGAGACTGTTGTTTACCCTGGATTATGTGTTCCTCTTTTTAGTATTTGAACCTTTCTGATAGGATACACGATCGTCGGTACTACAACCGCAAGTGAAATGCTTCCTAGTCCTTAACCAAGTAACTACAGTCGATTACCTATCTCCTGAAATCCAAGAATTTTTGCAAGAAATTCCCTGGTACGCAAAAGCGGTCCAGGCTATGTACCTCTAGGTCTTACAGCGGTAAAGTAAATATCCTAGTAAAAAAAGAAGATATATAGGGTTTATCATGTAATAAAGTGCTGTTTAGAAAAACAATGAAAAAATGGGATTACTAAGTAAGCTTAAGTTTTAAATTCAGAGAAAATCTGCTCATGCAAAAAACGAGTTGATGAAGCGGCTCACGTAGAATTATATTTGATAATGATTCTTTTGTGAACTTTTCAGAGACATTTTCTTCCATAGTACGCGCAATATAAAGTATTGTTTCTACTGAACAGCTCAAAGTTCAAGTATGTATTTTAAAACGATTTCACAAAAATTGCCAGTTGATTTTTTTTGTAATACTTCGTTGAGATACGTTAGACTAAGATTGTGCGGACTGGGTGCCATATTAGTAATGTTTTTCGTAAGCTTACGTTTGGACAAGCCGGTCAGTGACTGCTAAATAGAATTCAAATTGCCAGTTGCAGTCGTAAACGTACCATTTTGTGTACATTAAAAGAAACGTCTTGCCCTCACAAATCTTTGTAATTATTTCAGCTGTTAGACTACCATGAGGTTCAGATCATTCTAGATATAGTGGTGAACGCTTTACTTTTTTCAGTATTCTCAGTCCATTGTCCATAAATAAGGATTTGTTTTAATATGTTTACCAAAGTCTTAAAAATAAGATATTTGCTATAAGCATTTACCTCAATGGGTAGTTTTGGACATTCTTTCGCATGCAGCTGTCTGTTTAGGTCATGGCTTTACAATCATCCAATCATGTCGGGTCATTGCTGAGAAAAACGAAAGTTCGCAATAAAAATCAGAAATGAATATGCCTAAACCTAAGTCAAAAAGCTTTCTATAACAAACTGCGTCTCAGAAAAGCTAGGTACGTAGGTGTTTCGATGTCTAATGCATGCATAAATTTCCTTTTTCGCAAGTTAAATAAAGATTAAAATGGGAAAGCTTGACCATTTTTTTGAATTTTCTGAAAAGTAAGAATAAACCTTCCGCTGAAACTGAACGAACTCACTTTACTTTGTATACTGGAGCCGGTTTCGATATATCTGTTTACTTTTAGGCTCCTTTCTAAGAGGGCAAAGATTCCGTATTCATTCAGACTCCAGTGTAGATTAAGAAATGTTTAGACTTGTTCGCATAAGACGTAAAAACGAAGAGTGACGGCATGTAGCGGGTCCCCATATATATGTGCTTTTTTACGGTCCTTATTTTCGGTGTTTTAAGGTGAACGACAGTTGCCCAAATATATTACCTAAGTTCATTGCACAAGACGTATCAGATTCGCAAAACAGAATTTTGTAAACTGAATGCGCTTTTCTGAAAACAATGCGATTTCTCATATTTGCATTTACTTGATTTTTATGAAAGCAAAACTATATTTTCCGTTCTCTGAAAAGATGCAGTACAACATGCATTAGCAAGACATTTTGATTCACAACTTTTAATATCGTATGAACTTCCTTGGATATCAAGAGACGTTGGATTTGGCCGGCTTTTACCCACTTTGGCCTTTAATATACTGATCTGGATTGAACTGCTTTCAAGTAAGCAGTATTTTGCGTCTCAAATCAATTAAGTGAACAAACTAAACAACCTCTACTGTGGGTTAAATTACTGTCTCAAATGTCGATCTTGAAATTTCATGATTTAGGCAGGATACTATACTTGGAAATTAACCACTTATTTCAGTGAACTACTCATTAAACCACCAAGCTCGTTGTATTAAATATCATCCTGTTCTTTACCACATCCCTTTTACCAGGCCTGTATAGTGATGGATCCTTCCCAACGAAGCAAATGCTCAGAACTACTTCAGCACGCGTACTTTCAGAAACTGCGTGATACGTTGAACTCTGGGGATTCAGCCCCTTCCGATTCTGCCACACATTTAGAAGTTCATGCATCTGAGACAGAAAAGAACGAGACTGAAGCAGAACCGGAGGGGAAGGAAAAGGGTGGATCAGAAGACAATAAGGCTGTCCCCATGACGACGGAAAAGCAAATTATACGACAGGAGGCATCCCCTAATCCCGTCGGTGAGGCTCTCACTATTGCCAAACTTTCATTGGATAACAGCCAACAGTCGCACCAATCACAGCAGCAGCAGCAATCGCAAGCTGCGAAACAA